TCGAACCCAAAGAACTGTTCGGGTTTTGCTGTTGTCAGATTGTAATTGAGAATTATGGAGATGTGAAACAAGACAACTTATTTGATTTATTTCTGGACAAACTTCAGGTTCTTATTAGTAACATTTCTTAAGTATATATACCACTGAAGTTTCCAGATAAGTCAAGGAGTGCAAAGAGACAAAACAAATCACATCTCAGAGAGGGTATCATGGAGTTTCATTTATCAAGATTTTTCAATATCATTGGGGGGGAAAATGAAACATTAGCAGCAGCAGCAGCTTAAAGACTATTAAAACAACACAAATTTCTGTTCTTACTACTTGACCAGCAGACAGCATGATAGAAAATACAGGGCAGATGGGAAACAAATTGTTTTGGAATTTCATTTTCTTGTCATTTTCTCAGTAAAGTTTTCTTTCCTCAAAGAAAGCCATTCTAAAGTCACAGTCAATCATATGAAATAATATGTGAAGTATTCTCCCCTAAATCCTTCTATACAATTTCACAATTATAAAAGATCAGACTGAAAGGCTATACCAATAATTTATCCCTATCCTTTAAAAGAAGGACATCGCTAACCTTCCTGCAAGAAGATAATGCACAAACCAAATACTTTCAAAAACTGGAAAAGTCAAATAATGCAAAATAATACATGAATTTCAAGAGAAGTGGCTCTTCCTCACCAAAAAAAAAAAAAGGGAGTACAGGAATTAAAAAAACACAGCAGATTGTTTTCACATCAAGTTAGTGCTTGAATCCCTGAAAGGGAAAAGTCAAGGAAAAAAATATATAAGAAAGTCCCCAATCCAGTGCTTCCAGTACATGTGCGATGCAGTTTCGAGGACTCCCAGCCAGCATGACCATTAGTGTGCTATCTCTACATCAACTCAAAACTATGGAAGCTGCAATCATATTCCTTTTCAGAAATGCAAATTCAACAGTGAATCCATGAATAGAACATGGCTGCAAGTAATGAAACTGCACAAAGGCAGTACAGAACTGAAGATCATTACAGCGGAAGCATCTGAAACTCAAAATCTGTCTTCCAACATTGGGGTTAATTCCTTCAGATAATACGTTTCTTTTTAAAATGCAATTGTTGTCTTCCTATAAAGCCAGCATTTCCCATATTTAATGAAAGTCAAGAAAATCTAAATAATGTTGCCATATATACCAGATGTATAAACAGTGTGTTACATCTTTTGGAAAATTAAGAAATGGTTATGGAAAAACTAATGAGATACATTGTGAAGTCAGTCTTGTTAGATACATGAAAACACATTAATACATTAAAAAAAGCACATCCCTCAATTTATTTAAAAATCAGATCTTTCCAAAATAAATGTCTATTTCAATGCCTTACGATCAGAGTGGGTGGTCCTTTCCCCTGGACATGCTGTGTTTTATCCGAGAGCTTCTCTTGGCCTATTCTTAAAACTGAACTTGTTGGCTGGGGTCACACACTGTGCATGGTTTCTTGATCAAGCCATCATAGCTTGATTCATGCATTGTGCTAAACCACAGACCAGAGTTTACAAACTACACCAACTATCCACACATCATACTTCCTGACATTACTGACATTGGGCCAGTCATTCTCTCTCGGCCCATCCCACCTCACAGGGTGGTTGTTGTGGGGAAAAATAGGAGGTAGAAGTATTAGATATGTTTGCCTTGAGTTATATATAAAAAAAGGTCGGATAAAAATATTATTATTGTTGGTCGCACAGTCAGCCAGATGTTTAGACTAGATTTG